AGGGAGGACCACCGCCTTGCCTTTTCCAGCTTCTAGAGGCGGCCTGCCTGCCTTGGCTCAAGACGCCCCGTCCATCTCAAAGCCAACAGCAAATTACCTTCAAATCTCTCTCTCGCTGTGACCCTCCTGCCTCCTTCTTATAAGGATACTTGAGATTACACTGGGCACATCTGGATACCTGGATACCACCTCCCCCATCTCAAGATCCTTAACATAATTCCATCTGCAAAGTCCCTTTTGCCAGGTAAGGTAACATATTCACAGGTCTAGGAGATTAGACCCTTTGGGAGGCCATGATTCTGCCGACCACAATCTTCAAAATGGAAATGTCTATCCTGCAATGGCTGTCACATGATGATTACATGAGAAAATATGTTAAGTGTCCAGCACACAGTAGGCATTCCATTAGTGCTGGTAAAACTGGACGGAAGCATCTCAGGTGCTCATGGTAGATGACAGCAGCACTTTCCTCTACCTGCCATTGTGCTAAATTTATTTATTGGTTGATAGTCTATCTCCCCCATGACCCCCTGCACCGCCCTGCCCCAGGGCAGGGATTGTGTTCACCGCTGCTTCCTCTGTGCCTAGGCAGAGCAAAGCACACATTGGGTGCTTAATATTTGTTGAGTGAATGAGTATTACTTTTCCTCGCCATGAAAAAGAAGCACCAGTTACCAGATGGAGACCCTGCCAGTATTCGTGTTCTCTAGGGCTGCTGGATGAGGTCACGTAAGCACAGATGGCCGCCGAGCCCGGTACCAAACCTGCTGATCATGTTTGAGATGGCCAGAGGTTTCTGTCCTCAGACAGCAGACTCGAGAGAGACAGGTCCTGCTCTGCGGGCAGCTGCACAGGTGTGGGCTCCTGCCACTTGCGCGTGCGGCTGCATGATGCAGGACAGAAAAAGTGAAGAACGTTGTGGTAACGGACTGGTCTCTACCAGCTTGTCCATGGGGAGGCAGGGTCTCTCCCATACTGTTTTCACCACCCCAGAGAGCAGACAGTGCCGGCGCTGTGGAAGAACACCCCACGGGAGCTGGGAAGGGGCAGCTTCCAGAAGGTTTGGAAACTGGCGCCATACCCTCTCCTGGCTCTCAAAATGGCGCCACCCAGTTGGGTCTTTCTCAAGCGGCTCAAATGCTGCAGCTACTTCATGGAAGCATCGTGAGACCCCCCACCCCACCAGGGTCCCTCTGATGCTCCCACAGCCCCCTGAGGTGAAGGCCCAGCCAGAGTTGGTGGCCTGACATGGTGTTAAATGGTGACGGTCTCTGCAAACAGCAAGTTCGTTCCTGGGATGTCCCGGGGCTGCCTCTCTGTAAGACCCAGGAAAACACTGATTTCTTCATGACTGGGAGGAAGAACAGGCTGTGGTGCCATCCCATCTGTGCCACCTCCTAGCCATGACTTTGGGCAATTCCCTACCCCACCATCATTTAGGAATCTTCATATATAAAATATTGGGGGGGTTGGGGGGTGGGAACTAGTTGTGAGGACCTAACGTGAACGAAGTGCCAGACCCACAGTAACGTTCAGGACTCTGACCCCCCACCCCACCCCACAGAGGGCTGGGGTCAGCTTCTGGAAAGCAAGGGCCTTTGCCCCCAACAGTTCTGACTTCTGCAAATCCCTCCATGTGCCTAAGACCTGGTCCTGGGCCAGGGAGGCAGCAGCTTATTTATCAATAGGAAGGGACGATCGGGCTGTCAGGGAACCTCAGGGTTATAGGGCGAGGGCATTCTGTTCACTGCTCCTTGAAGCGGTCTGGAGAGGCTGTCTCCAGATCTAAGGGGCCCACCGCCGGCCGGGTCTGCTGGGAAAGGAGGAGAAGCCACTTTTCACAGACCCTCCTCTAAAGAGTCTCACTGTACCCAGACACATCTCACCAGGGCTGGAGAGCTGGGAGGGGCCCCGGCTGCCTGCAGGACGAAGTCCAAATTCCTAAGTGCCTCCAACCTGGCCTTTCAACCCTCCCAACCCCACTGAGCTCTATCCTCCTCCACACCAGAGGCCTTGAATACCGAATATCTTCCCTCCTGGCCTCTCCAAGCCCAGTTCCTCCCCTTGCTTGCAATATGGGGCGAACCCACCTCTTTCCGGGAGCTGGGAGCCTTCCTGACCTTCTGCAACCCAGGGCTGGAAGGCTGCTCCCTCCCCTGGGCTCCCACAGCACTGCCTGTCTCTGAACTGGGGCCCTCAGTGTTTTTTCTTGCCCATGGGGTCATGATGTTCCTGAGGCTGGGGCCTGGTTTGACTCAAATTGAGGAATTACAGTCTAGCTCAGCATCACAAGGCAGTAAATATTTGTTCAAGGGCGGCAGTGAACGTGCTCAAGGCTGATTAGTTAAGGTAAATAAAGAATATTTTAGAGAGTAAGTCACAGGTATTGGCCAACATTTCTGCATGCGGAGTCCGGAGGAGTTACACCCTGGTGCACAGGAAAGGCAGGACTGTTTGCATGGGGTGGGGGTCCTGCGGGTGTGTGTGGGGGGTGCAGACACAGAGTCATCAGAAACCAGGCCCTGTTCAGATTCAGCCGCTTCCAATCAGTTCCAATCTAAACCCAGTTATTTTCACAAAGTCTGAGTTCTTCAAAAGCTAGCAAGGACTTTACAGTTCCTCTGGTGATGGACTTTAATGATTCTTAGTTGGTTCTTAAGTTCCATGAATATTTAAGTCCTTTTAAAAAAATTGACAAATTGCTTATTGAGCATTTAGTAGTGCCAGACACTATTCTAACCACCCTGTGAGAAAACGAACTCATTTTATCCTCAGAACAGCCAGTGAGGTAGGTCTGTTATCCCCATTTTGCAGGTGAGAAAACTGAGGCCTGGAAAGCTTGAAATAGCCCAAGCTCACTCAGCTGGGAAGGCAAAGAATTGGGATTCAAAACTGGGCGGCCCGACCCCTATTCTCATCTATGTATGTTACATCTGAACTTACAACTAAACGTTCTCACTGCAGCTTGGGGTTCTCTACATTTAGTTTCTTAAAAATGGCACCATTGGGGCCGACCCCGTGGCACACTCGGGAGAGTGTGGCGCTGGGAGTGCAGCGGTGCTCCTGCCGCGGGTTCGGATCCTATATAGGGATGGCCGGTGCGCTCACTGGCTGAGGGTGGTGCTGACAACACCAAGCCAAGGGTTGTGATCCCCTTACTGGTCACACACACACAAAAAAAGGCATCATTGCTAAGTTTTGAAAACCACTGACCCAGCCCAGACTTCCCATTTTATAAATCAGGACACTGAGGTCTGGGAACAGGTACTGAGTGGTTCCTGGTCACACGGCATGTGTGGTAGAGAGAGAAGCAGAACCTGGGTCCAGTGCCCAACCCGGCTGCTGTGGGTTAAACGTGTCTCCCAAAGTTCACGTATTGGGAACTTGGCCCCCACTGTAACAGTGTTAAGAGGGTGGGAAATCCTACTACAGCAATTGAAGGTGGGGCTTTTAGAGTGATTGGACTGTGAGGACTGTGCCCTGGGGAGAGGATCCATCCGTGGAGTAGCGGGTGTGGTTCTGACGGCTTTATAAGGAGAGTGAGTGAGCAGGTCAGCTCTCTCTTGCTCAGCACATTCTCGCCATGACACCCTGCATCGCTGTGGAGAGTCACCACCAGAAAGAAGGCCCTCACCAGATATGTTCCCTGGACCTTAGAATTCCCAGCCTCCAAACTGTAAGAAATAAAATTTCATTTCTTTATAAATTACCCAGTTTCAGGTATTGTTATAAGCAACAGAAACGGACTAATACACCTACTTTCCCCATGAGACCATGATGCCCCTGCTCCAAGCTGGTGGCTCTGGTGGTTGTTCAGAAGCTAATCATGGCGTGCTAAGTAGCTTTGTGGTGGCCCAAAGGACAGGGCCCGGCAGAGCTCAGTCCAATGCTGGCTCTGCTGCTAATATGCACTGTGGGCTCCTCTCGGTGTCCTCTTCTGCAGATGGGGGTTGTCATAGTACCCCTCATCCAGGTGTGAGGATTAAATGTCCCCTGTGTTCACTCAGAGTGCCTGGTGGCTTTCCCTACCTCCAGACAAGAGTGGTGAGTCTGGGGAGCAGGGTTGAGGGGTGAATGCATTTTGTGGCCTCATAATCTGCAGGATGGGGAGGGACTTGGGGCTGACCTTCAACCTCATCTCACTATTGGGCGAAGAAACCCAGGAGCAAACACACAGCCGGGAGCAGTAACCCCTCCTGAGCATTTCTTTATCACGGGGATTCCAGGCAGACCCTGGGGGCAGAAGGACAAAACGAGATGAGCTAGCGGTGCAGGGAGGCAGCTGCCACCTGCCCCACGTGATGAGGGAAACAGCCACTGCCACATCCTGAGCCGCCCACGCCAGGGTCTGCCATGGGAAGACTGTGGGTGATTTGAAGTTTCCCAACCATAAGTGGAGCCCGCTGCCCACTGGGGAGCAGCCAGGCCCATGGGGGTTGGGAGGGGGTGCTGGACTTGTCCTAAGCCTCAGGGAAGAAACTGAACACCCAAGGGACAGAGCCAGACACACATCCCCGTAGTGGGGAGCTAAGTTTGCTGGGGGCCCCAAGCTGCTCTAGCACCCCCAAGCGATGTAAGTTCTGATTATAATTCCATGGAATATCACTGTACACTGTTGAATACAGGACAGTTTCACAAACACATTACTGTGTGGGGTGGCAGCCACCAAGCCCTGAATCACCACGTATGCTATACTTCATCGGTAATTTGAGCTTCAAAAATAATTGTGAATGTGTGTGCTTTCCACCTAGTAAGATCTGAGTTGACAGCAGGGCTGACGTTCTGTGAATGTTGGCATCAGCTGGCCCCTGCTACTGAGGGTCACAGCAGACACCTCAGGGGCCCTCACACTTGAGGGGGTGCCGGGGTCTGCTCTCTGGCAGTGGGTGTCAACTGTGTGAACATGGACTTGGATTTCATTAAATAGTGTCAATACCTGCTGATTCTCATGCGTGTACAAAAGAAGACTTCTTTTAAACAAAAAAAGAAGGAAAGGACTGTAGATTTCGCCAAAGGCTTTTATTTCGGCTGCTTTAGGACCCTGACTTCCTGCTCTATAGTACTGAACATGGCCAAATTTTTCTGAGTATTGGGAAAGGATGCTGAGGGTTCCTTCTGTTTCCCAAGTCTTGACGGATTCACCCACTACCCACAGGGCAGGAAAGCCATCAGGCAGACTGTGGTGCCCAGGGCTCAACATGGACATGCTCTGCCCAGAGCCGCCACCTCCCCTGGCCTCTGCTCAGGCCAGGGCTTGACTATAAGGCCAGGAATCAGGCAGCTGGGCACATGCCCTGGGAAAGGCGAACAGATGTCAAGGCTTAGCAGTAACCAAATAAATAAGAAATGCTACCACTGAGTTTACACTGATGCATATTTGCTTCTTAATTAAAAAACAAATCCAACACAGAAGTAAATAAGAGCCACAGGGTGCTTAGAGGCGGTGGGGGAGGAGGGAAGACTTCATCTGTAAAGTGCTTTTGGGTCCTGGGACTCCTTCTAGTCCAGTCTGAAGCACCAGCTAACTCGGAAGGGGTGGGAGAGTGGGTGAAGACCGTGCATGCAACTTCCAGCGACAACGGGCATTCAAAGTGGACACAGTGAAACAGCGGTCACCCCTCGTCGGGGCCTGAGCAGTCCGTACATGAACGAGAGGTTTCAGAAGCCCAGACCTGCACACGCGGGCACACACTTAGCACTGGGCTGTGCTCGTTGGCCAGGCGGCCACCGGGAAAGGTCCTCACAGCATCATGCACGGAGGCCTTCCCCAGCCGTGGACAGGCCCTCACACAGCTGACAGGAATGGGAAGAAGAAGAAGTCAAAGGCGAACTTCACAGCGCTATGTGCGGTGCTGCGCCAGTCATGCTCGATTTTCACGTGCCGCTTGGCAGGCGACAGCTGGGCCATGCAATTGAGGCAGCTGATGGCCTTGAGCTCGAAGACGGGCCACTTGCTGCCCAGGCGGCCCTCGAGGACGGTGCTGAACTCGACGAGGCTGCCCTGGCGCAGGCTGAGCAGCACGCCCTTGAACTCGCTGCTGGCCCGCAGCACGATGTCCTTGGTGACGTCGTCCTCCTCGTGGCCGCGGGGGCCGTTGGCCCCGCTGCTGTATGGCATGCCCACCGTGATCTCGAACTTGTAGCGGTCGAACTTCCTGATGTGGCAGGGGTGCTTGGCCAGCAGCTTGAGGCGGCAGAGCTCCTCCTCGGCCGTGGAGGTGTTCCCGGGACTGCAGGCGGGGTAGGGCTCACCATAGAGGCAGCGCATCCAGTCGCCCACGAAAAACGGCAGCATGTTGATAGCTGACTCGGCGCTGTTGTCGATCTCGGTCACCCGGACGTACTTGAAACGGCCCGTCCACGTGACCCTGTGGCCCTCTAGGTGGCTGCACAGGATCTGGGTGCGCGCCATGTTGGTCTCCTTCCAGGCCCGCGGCCCGCACAGGAAGCCGTACTGCTGCCAGGTCAGCGTGGAGTTGTAGACCTTCATGCCCTCCGAGCGGTACACGTAGAACCAGCAGAAGAGCACGACCGCTGAGATCCACACCAGGATGAGCTTCACGACGGAGCTCCGCGTCAGCGACTTGACCATCTCCACCACGGAGAAGTTGGCCTTGGTCCACCAGCGGAACAGCAGGGGGACGCTGCAGACTGCCATGGTGACCACGATCTTGGTGAGCTCCAGGGACACGAACCACCGGGCAAAGTGCAGCATGCCCATGAGAGCGAGGCCAGCCACCAGGACAGGGAGCGCAAAGAGGAACAGGAAGTAGCCGACGGAGGCGCGGACCAGCCCCAAGCCAGTGGACTCCAGCAGGATGACCACGGAGAGTTCACACCACATGAAGCAGACCAGGTAGGGCACCAGGTAGCAGTAGGTGCCTTTGAAGTGCCTCAGCTGGGCCATGCGGAAGAAGAGGTAGAAGAGGTAGATGTAGAGCAGGCAGGGGACGCTGACGTTGAGGACGACCAGGTGGCCAACGGGCACGGTGAAGAAGGTCTGGCCGAGGAGCTTCAGGTAGCGCCAGTCCAGGGGCACGGAGGGCAGCAGGGACAGCAGGCCAGCGGTGACCTCGGTGACCAGGGCCCGCCTGGTGTAGGGCTCAGCCGAGGTGCTCAGGCTCATGTAGCTGGTGACAGTGAAGAAGGCGGCGATGACGGCTAGCTCTGAGCAGGGCACACAGTCCTTGCTGGCGAGGGGGAAGGAGAAGATGACGAAGATGACGGACAGCAGGAAGTGGGCGTAGGGCTCCAGGTGGTTCCAGCCGAAGTTGACCTCGGCCTGCTCCACGTCCAGATTGGGCTCGAAGCGCAGCAGCAGGTCGGTGAGGGTGCGGAAGTTCTCCCAGGCCTTGCTGTCCTGGAACACCTTGAGGGTGCAGATCACCATGGACACGAAGGACAGGTAGAAGATGACCAGGGGGATAAAGAAGGCGAAGAAGTCGACGGTCAGGTTGCTGATGATGAAGAAGAAGATGAGGGCGTTGATGTGGTGGGTGGGGACGATGGTGGACAGCCAGTGCATGCCGGCCCGGGAGGCCACGTCAATTAGGTACTCCTTGATTTCCATGATGGCGTGCAGGGGGTACTTGACCACCTGGGGGCAGGGGGGAGATGGAGCATTGGAACCAAGCTGGGACAGGAATCCCCACAGCTCTCCCTCCCATGCCTCCCTTCAACCAGCCCAGCTCTGGGGCAATGCACACCACCCCGGCTGTTGTCTCACGGCTGGGCCCTTTGCCCTGCTGGGTCCTAGTGGGTCCTCCTACCTCCACCTGGTGGAAAATCCTCCCATGCTCTAGGATCCATATGGGCCTTCTCTCAGTACCACCCCACTACAGGTCCTGGCCCTTCCTCTTCTGGGGCCCTGGAGCCCTTCTCCACCCCCCACCCCCGTGCCTGGCTCCCCACCCTCAACAGGGGTGCTGGACTCACACGAACTTGTCTCCCCTGCAAGACCTCAAGAGCCCAGCGGGACCCTCCCAGCTCCCCTTCCTTCCCCATGGGGTTCTTTGGAGCACATGACAGGGTCCCGGGCTGCCGTCTAGGAGCAGGTTCGTGCCTCAGCTCCACATTGCAACAAGGATGTCACCCCCCTGAGCCTCAGCTTCCTCGTCTGTCGAGGGGGATGGCAACCATTACTTTACAAGACTATGCTGGGCTCTAAAGAAGTGACAGCCACTAGCAGTCCCGAGAGGGGAGGCTGAGTGGGCATTTGAGAGAATTCGGCGCAAACACAGACAGCAGGGACTCATCACGTCTTTCCTGAACAAAGCGATGATTCAGTGGTAACAGGTGGATGAGAAACTTTCGCTAGTGGCAGTGGGCCCTGAGAACCAGCTGCCTGCCCCCCGCAGCCCACATGCACATACACACTCACCCAAGCACATGTGCACACCCCCTGCACACCCCCCCATACACACACGCATGCACACACAGTGCATGCACACACAACATGCTGCTTACACACAACCCCACACAGACACACACCCTCACACAGATGCGTTCAAAGGCAGCCTCTCCTCCCCAGCCTTGCCCCTGTCCCCCCAGCAGCACAGTGAGAGGTCAGAGCAGCTCTCAGCCTTCACCACAGCCACAGGTGAATGAAGGGCCGGGGAAAGTGAGAGGGGAGCAGCCTCAGGAAGCAGGTGGGGGTGATTCTCCCACCCAGGGCACCCTCACATCCTGCCTGGTCTGTGCAGAACTCGTAGAGGCCCTTGGCCGGGCCAGGGCACAGAGGAAGGGGACAGAGGCTGGAGGGGTGAAAGGAGAAAGTGGCCATGACAGTGCCAGTCCTCACATAGTGCAGCATGGAGCACAGGGCAGGGGTCTGGATGTCTCCAGAGGGACAAGGGCCTGGACAGCACCAGGGAGTGGCTCCTCAGAGTACTCAGCCCTGTGTCAGAGCAGGAAGCCTGACCATGGGCCCAGAGCCCATTGAGATGCTATGTGGTAGGGCCAGGCCTGAGCACAGATGGACAGGAAGCAGCAGCCAGATGCCCCATCAGTGCTGGGACAGGTGGGCAGCGCCAGCCTCCCCGACTCCTGTGGGCAGGCTCTCTCTGTTGTCCCACTGGAGGGCTGAGGAAGAATCCTGGGTGAACAGTAACTGAGTGACACCACCAGCATGTGGCCCTCATCTGCCCAAGAACCTTGGCTGTCAACTCAAAACAACTTGAACAGGCATATCCAAACCAGTAACGGAGCCAGCCTGATGCCTGGGGAGGTCCTGAGATGGGGGCCATGGGCCTTAGCTCCGCCCCCGCCACACATCCAGCCCAGCAATGGAGCCAGATGACACCCAGGATCTTGAGACAGTGGCCGGGCCGGCTCCGCCCCAGCCCACAACCAGATCCAATGTATTTGTCAACCACGGGTGTTCCTTTGGGGTGCGTGACTTATCTGCTCATGTCCCTCACCAAATTTCTGCTTAGATTTTTCTAATTAACTTTTAAGAGTTCTTTTTGCAATAAGGATGTTAACCTTTGTTAAAAAAAAAAAAAAAGTAAAGAGTAGAATAGTGGTTACCAGAGGCGGAGGGGTGCAGGGTGCAGGTAGGGTGGGGAGATTGGGGTGAACTAATGGGGACAATACTATGCTGTCCACCCTAAGTGAATCATTGCACAAGATACGCATGTATCAAAACAACACATTGTACCCCACGAAAATACAGATAAAATTGAATTTAATAAAAAAAAACAAAGAAAAATAACTAGCACACCTGGAAGCTACCGGCAGACGGAGCTTCCCCAGGTGAGGACCGTGACACGCTTAAGGACATGTATGTGTGTGTACACACCTATATACACTCACATGGACGAACAGCTCTGTGTCCTCTTACACATTTGTGACAGTCCACGGTTCTATAACAAGCAAAGAGAGGAGCAGTCTAATAAACCACCTAACGGCTCCCCCACTCTCTGGGGCCACCAGCCTTCCCCATGAGTGGAGAGGTGTCCACACATGCTGTGGGAAGGGTGACAGGGACGATCAGGCTCAGCAGCATTAGCCTCTGGGGTCGTTTCTGACGCTTGCCATAGAGCAAGCCAGCACTTATGAAAACAAAGCCGCCGCAGGGCTTCTCGGGGAGGAGCTCTCCGGATGAGGCCCGGCCAGTCCAGCCAGCTGAAGCCAGCAGCTGGAAGTGCGTCAGCCGGCGCAGCTCAGCCCCGTGGGGAGCTTGCTAACAGCGGGCAAGCGGGCAGTGCCCCCAGGCCTGCGTGACGCGCAGCAGGGAGCTGGCCTTGGTTAAAGTTCACCTGAAATCCCGTCCCACTCAAAGCTGTTCATACTGTTTTGCCACACAACTGATTGCCTAGCTGAGAGGGCCTCTAAAAGACAATGAAGCTTCTAGAACATGACACTGGTGGTGTCCAGTGTCTTGGGCAGCACGGGTGACCAGGGAATGGTTCCTTTTCAAGTTCCTGTACCCTGCTCCCTGCAGCTTCCACCCAAGCCTTCCACCAAATGGTGGGACTCCTTTTCTGTAGAAAATGTGTAAACAAATGAAAATAAACTCTGCTTTGAGATGGAAAAAAACGAAATTAAGAAAATGCAAGCAGGATCTAGTTCTGCGAGAGGAACAGTGACGAGCATGCGCCCCACCCGAGGTGATCGCCCTGTGCTGTCCCAAGAAACGTAGAAAACGCAGCGTCACAGCCGGGCCGTGACCAGCGTGCCGCCTCCCTCCACTCGGGCCGAGGCGAGTGAGTCTCAGCTAGATGCTGCTCAAACCCGAGTGAAAACATCCTCATGTTGCATTTTGCAATGATTTAATGGAAAAAATGTTAGGATTTTAAAATATCATTCAATGTATTTTTCAGAGGGTTTATCTGTCACGGTGCCTGCACTTCCAGGCTCCAGAGTGGAGTCTGGAACTTTCCTTGTGGGAGTAACGTGAGCTCACAAAGAGGCGTCTGTCATTTCTCACTGTGGGAGAAGACAACCTCTCCAAAGTACCTTCTCCTTTGTTCTCCAAAAGGCTATTAAAAGCTGGGACAGCTTTAGCTCTAGGAGACGCCTGTGATGATTCATTATGTGTCTTTTGCAAAAGACTTTTAATAAGAAAAACTGTAAAGGCATCAGAGCTCTGACAGTTTCAAACGTTGGAAGGAAACTCAGAGCCTTGCTTTTTCCGTGTCAGAATACTTTAAGTCTCTCTCCCAGAAAGGACTTTCAGGTATAGTACAGCACCAGACTCATCACTTGTAAGTGGGGTGACATAAAATTCAGTGTCCAAAGCAGGGTGCTTTATTAGTACTTATGCTGGGATGGCGTAAACTGGGACACCCAGGCCATGGCCTTCTGGCACGAGGGTCTTCTCCAACTTACCCTTTCACCTTTGACCCTCACTGGCATTTGAGGAGCACCTCCTCTTTGCCAAAAACCATGCCAAATGCTCCTCTTCCCTCTCTCATGCTAGTAAGGAATTATGACATCTTATCTGTGAACATTTAGCCCAGGGCCCCCCTCTGAGTACACTGTCAATGAAAGCCCTGAGCTCCCTCAGTTCAAGTTCTCTGCTATCCTGGCGCTGCGTCTCAGCCTCCAGAATGGCCAGTCTCTCTTTCACTGGACAGGACACTTGACAGCTCTGGGTGCTCCTTGCAGACTCACGCTCAGATACAATTGCTCTCTGGGTCCCGGGGAGCATCCTGCCCTGCCCTGTCCACACACTGGGCTCCGACTTCCCGCCGGCTGCAGCTGACCCACATCCTGCCCCAACCTTGACCCGTTTGCCCATCCAACACATTGATGGTGGTTCACCCATGTTCTCAGTCGGTTAAGAATACCAGAACCTCAGGGACACTTGGACAACACACACCCATGGGTGCTGTGACAGCAACTCATCTGCTCAGAGGCCCCTTGTGCTTGCTGACACACCTGTCTGGAAGTTTGGGTTCCCCTGCAGACTGAGCTATGTTCACATCTAATTCAACCATGTGAACTGAACCAGGGCAATCTGTAAGGAGACCATATGGCTGCCTCGTGTGTCTGCACCGTACGTCCCACCACGTGGCTGAGAACGCAGAAGCTGTCAAGTAGGCAGTGGGGCTGCGCCACTGGGCTCTCCGCCCCTGCTCAGCCCTTGCCGTCTGTGCTGCTCGCTTCCTTCAGGTGAGCCCCTTGTCCTGCACACATACCGGCCCACCCTCCCCCACTCTCCCACGCTCTTGCTCTCTCTCCCTGAGCCCTCGCAGGACCAGGGACAACAGGCATCACTGCACAGTCCTCCCTGGCTAGATGGACACTGCACTTCATTTTGGGGAAGGCATTTTCAAAGTTCTGACCTCTGTTCTGTGCCATAAACGGCTAATTTTTCTAAATGATAAAGTCTAAATGAAAGTCAGAACCCAATCCCTCCACCCTGCTCTCCACACGGTGCTTTGTGGCAGAGAAAGCCAAAAGACGGGCTCTCTCCAGCGCACATCACCTTGGGCGCACATCACACTGGGTGCACGTCACCCTGAGTGCGCCCACCCGACTGCATAAGAAATGCCTCTGTCCCGAAGACGCGTCCTTACGCAGCGACAGAGGGCGTCCTGAAGGACAAGCGGCACAGCTCCAGGACGCTTCTGTTAGGTGAGGACCGTCCCACCCACAGCTTCGTGGAGAGCACGAGGGGTGCCTGACAGGAACCGCGTGTGTGCCCAAGGAGGTGAGGTCTGGCCGACTCACCCTGAGGCGCAGGGGCAGGTCCTCGGGGCTCTTCCCTGCCAGCTCGTCATCATCGTCCTCATCCTGCAGGAACAGGTTTGTGGGGATGATGCCCTTGGCGTACTTCTTGGTGATCTCCACAAAGTCGTCCAGCGCGATATAGTTCTTGGCTGAAGCACATGAAAAAATGGCATGGGGTCCTCACCGTGGCCCTGACACGGATGGGTGAGGTGGGGAAGGGTGGCTTGGGGCCAAGCTCAGACAGGAGCTGAGTGTGGTCAGGTGGAGGAACCCTGCCTCAGCTGATGAATGGACAAGGGCCAGGCTGGACGGGGGTGGGGTTGGGAAGCGGCAGGTCTGCCCAGTGCCAGCCTCCACTCCTGCCCCTGGCCTTTGTGACAGACTGCTGTGTCCCTGCACCCAAGCTTTCCTTCCTTCCCTAGCTCCTGATGTCTGGAGTCTACCTGCACCTCTGAGCCCAGATCAGCTGCCAACCCTTCAACATCCGGAACCTCCAGTGCCCTGACATCCTTCTCTACCTCCAGCCTCAGCTGGACTTCTCACAGTGCTGGTGACAAGCCACGCTGCAGCCCAGCCCTCTGCTAACCCCGCTATCCAATGATCCGCTGAGGGCCTACTATGCACCTGCTAACCCCTCCACCCAACACACATCCACAGAGGGCGTACAATGTACCTGTTAACCCCTCCATCCAACGTGAACCACCGAGGGCCTACTATGTGCCAGATACTTTCCTGAACACTGGGAAATGCTTAAAATGGGCAAACAAAACCCAGAGAGTGCCCAAGTCCGGGCTCCCTCTAGCAGGGGTGATGGATGCTGGATAAAGGTTGGGAAGTCGCTGAGAGCCACATCCATCTTGGAAGCTCTCCTCCAGGTTGGTCCAGGACGGGCGTGTCAAGGGACCTCTCCAACCCACTGAGCCCTGAGTATGAGGCCCAGGGCTGGTGGGAGCCAGCTTTCTGGGAGCTTCCCGTGGGGGGAAGAGAGGGCATGTTCTAAGAGGGGGATACAACACCCAGGCAGCCTGAGTCCTGGCCTCACAGAAGTGGCATCCCATGGAGGCAGGCAGTTAACAAACAGCAGATATGCCAGAGATGATGGCGCAGGGGAGCAGGGCCAGTGCCCTGGAAACACAGCGGATGGAGGGCCCCTATCAATGCGGGGACACAGGATTCATGTGACGGCAGGGAGGGAGGGGGCCACACATGGCCACGGAAAGAGCAAGCCAGGCACAGGGATCAGCCAGCGCACAGAGGAGGAATGACGGGGAGGAGCTCCATGGGGCGGGGGACAAGGAGGGCCAGGTCCCTCAAGGCCCCCAGCTGCTGCTTGGGTGAGACTGCGCGGGAGGACCTCAGCCTGAGGTGAGTGATCTGGGCAACGGGTAAAGAGGGAGCTGTGGGGCAGGGGGGCGGTGACGTGGGGCACTGTCAGGCCGTTGTGAGGACTCTGGAGTTATTCTATGGACGAGGGGGAGACCCTGGAGGGCTGTGAACAGAAGTCAGAGAAAAGACTATGCCAGGGTGGGGTGGGAGAGGGAGACCAGGCAGGAGTGTCACAGACACTCCAGAAGAGGTGACAGGCCAGATCCAAGGAGTAGCTGCAGGGGTGGTGAGCACTGGGGGCCTCCTGGTGGACCAGGTGTGAGTGTGCAAAGGAGAGAGGATCCAACACAGTGCCCAGGTGTGCAAAAAGAGGAGCCAAGCATGGTGCCCAGGTGTGCCAGGTGAGGCTCTGGAGGCCGAGTCTCTGCCAGGGTCCCACACTGGCGGGTGGCAGAGGAGCCCCAGGCAGTGGGTCTAAGCCCAGGGAGTGCATTTTTCCCACTCGAGTGCATGACCTTCCAGCAGTTTCTATGTCCAACAACAGAGTTGTGACCTGGTTAATCACAAATCTCTGCAGGGTGTGAAGTCAGAGCTGCATGGCCTGGGTGGCCCACGGATCTAAACTCTGCCTGCAACGTCACTACAGGAAGGACTCCTGACCTGGGCGCCCTGCTCAGGCACACACACGTCTCTCTGCAGTGCAGCCACGCACCCGGCACCCTGGTGGTTGGAAACTTCTAAAGGTCTCTCCGTTCCTCCAGTTTCTGTAAGTCACGGACTCCTCTCCATCTCAGCATGATACAATTCTCTGCCTCCCCCAAACGGAGAATGCAGCAGCCCACACACCCACGTCCCCCTACTCAGACGCAGGGATTCAGTTGTCGCCAGAGTTCCAGCGACACTTTCTCTCATTGGTCCAGAGGGAAAGTGAGATGTCTCCCCAACTGCACGATACCCCCCCCCACCACAAGAAGCTCAGAAGCTCCTGAGACAGGGGGGCCCTTCGATCCTCTAATCTGACCATCTCACTGTCCAGAAGGGGAAACTGAGGACCAGAAAGAAAATAAGACCTGCCCAAGATCACAAGAAGAGTCTGCAGCAGACCTGGGTGTTCACCTGAGCTCTCCTGTTAATGCTGAGGAGCCAGAGTGTCCCACCTGCCTGGCTTCTCCAGGACAGGAGTCCGGGGCACCCACACTGCAGAGTCCACCCCATACAGGGGAGCGGTGGTCAGGGGGGTGGCTGCATGGGGGGATGAGAGTCTCTTCTAGTTCCTGGAGCCTAGTCCCAAAGACACACCCAGCTCAGCATGTCCCAAGCCTCTATTGCCTCCCTTCATGCAGGCTCTGCTACCCCACTTCCTACCTCCCCGCAAAGGCCCAGGCTGGGGTAGAGACCCTCACACGCCCCGCCAGGTCTCCCCTGGGCCTCTGATCATGCTGTTCCCTCCGCCTGGATTGCCCTCCGGGGCTGGTCACGGCACTAACTCCCCCTCAGCCTTCCCCACTCACTCAGGCACCGGATGCAGCCCACCCGCTTCTCTGTCTGGCAGGGATCGCCGTGCTGCAGTGTCAGTCCCATGTCCATCTTCCCGCTAGAGCAGGTGCTCCCTGTGGGCCAGGTGCACATCCCAGTGCCCAGAACACTAACACCCAATGGGCTGCACTGAGAGTCCCTTCCCATCCCTGAGATCCTGCTGGGGCCAGGCCTGGGCTCTGCAGAAGGGGGTGGACGCCATGCCCGGGGGGCAGGTGGGGACATGGACAAGGGTGTTGATAGGTGTAGGGCAGGCGGCCGTACTCACATTCACTGCTGACCAAGCGCTCCAGCATCCGCCTCTGCTTCTGTAGTGACTTGGGGACGGGGCCTGGCTGCGCCCCTCCATCTGCAGGGGACAAGGTGGGTTGAGAATCAACACAGGCTGCCTGACCCTTGTGCCCTACAGCCCTCCAAAATCTGGCTACAGGCTCCTGGGGCATCCCGAGCTCTGGGGACCACAGGCCTGGGAACTCCATCACAGCCATCGGGCAGGGCAATCACCTCTGAGCCTCAACCACGAGGGTGGACACAGTGCCCCCCAGCGGTGCTCCAGAGGAGGCTTCACAAAGCACTGCCTGCTCCGCCCTGCTTAGTCAGCACTGCCTGAGCCCAGCCACCTTCTGCGGGCCTTGGCCGCTGGCATGAATTCCCCTCAATCAGACCATGAACTCCCTGGGGGCCAAGCCCTGTCACTCCTGTGTCTCACCCTGGCACTAGGATGAGCTCAGGGAGAGTGTGCTCTTTGCTGTCCTTTTTGTTAACAGGCCACCTATCCCCCTCCCCACCAGCGAGCTGCTCCCTGGACACGCCTGGTGCCTGTGAAGAGGCCACGTACCATGCTCGTTGACCTGGCCCACATTCTCCAGCAGCTCCGACACGGCCACCTGCTTCTTCTTCTTGGGGTTGAGCTTCCAGTACATGACCAGCGCCGCCTTGCGCACAGCCCTCTCCAGGTCGGTCTCGGAGGACAGCTGCCTCACCTCCGGCTCGTTCTCCGAGGTGATGCCTGAGAGACAGGAGGGGTAATGGCTGCGTCCCCCCGGCCTGGATGCCATCAGTGCTGCTCTGAGAGGGTGACTCGCGCGAGAGGCTTGTCAGGCACCTTGGTTACCAGGGTAGAGTGAACATTTAACTGAAAGGCCATCTGAGCACAGTCCCTGCCAGCGCCCACTCTGCACGTGGGAGGCCCGCTGGTCTTGCAGTGTCCGCCCGCTCAGTGTCCACTGTGTGTAGGTACGTGTGGCTGTCTCCTCCCCGTGACACCAACAAAGCCAAAGGGAATGAAAGTGGCTCGGTCTGTTAAATGTCCATGCTATGCTCCAGAAACAATGTCCAGCAGGACAAGGCCACTAGCAAAACAGAAACTGCACTCATTTCCCAATGGCATCACCAGCACCGGGCTTTCCTGCTGCTATTATTTCACTTGTGCATCTACCAAGCAGCACTACCAACTGCTTGTCTCTGGGGCGGCTGTCTTAGCCTCACACACACCCACCTTTTCTGTCTGCCAAGCATCGGCGAAGAAGCTTCACAGCCTCCCGCCGACCCTGCTTTGCAGCGAGGACCAGCCAGTCCACGGCGGTGCAGTTGTTGAGTTCTTCATCCGCGTCATTGGCTAATCGCAGGTAGTGCTTCCCCACCTACAAACCAGACACCATTCAACATCCAGCTTCTCGGACCCGCTGCCTCCTGCCCCACGCTGCCGGACAGCCGCCTCCTCCCGCCCCTCCCCTTTGTCACTAGGCCTCACTGGGTGTCTACACTAGGCAGGCCCTCTTCAGCTCCTGGTACTTGCTCCTCCCCAGAACACTGTGAGGCAGATGCGGCTACCCCTCTGCAGATGAGGGAACCACGGGCTCCGAGTCATACAGATTTCCTTCCCTGAGCTGCTCCTGCCTACCAGATGCCCCAGGCTCACCAAGAGCGGCCAGTAGCTGTCATGACTAGATACACCTGCCGCCTCTCAAAACAGCCAGGGGGCCACAGAACGGGCTGGAGAGAGGCCAGCTAAGCAGCAGTCAGCACTGGCCACTACCTGTTTTTGAAAGTGAGGTTTGGGCCGGCCCGGTGGCGCACTGGGTAGTGCGCCGCTTGGGAAGCGCGGTGGCGCTCCCGCCCGAGGGTTCGGATCCCACATACGGACCGGCTCCCGCTCACTGGCTGAGCGAGGCACGGGAGCAACGCCGAGGTTTGCAATCCCGTTGCCGGTCCCTGGTCCGGTACGGGGGCAACACTGAGGGTTGCGATCCGTTGCCGGACACGGAAAAAAAGACAAAAGACAAAAAAAAAAAAAAAAAAAAAAAAAAAAAAAAAAAAAAA